ATCACAATATAAGCATCATTTATCTTCTGTGCACAACTTTTTTTGTCTTCATTCGCTCATAATACGATGAGAGTGATATTTTCAAAAGTTGTTGTGCTCCCTCTTAGGCTCATAATATAAGAAGAGTTGATGATGATTTTAGTAAGAGGCGTTTACATACATGGCACTCAATACTAATGTATTTACGTATCTCAAACCTAAACTTTAATATTTACACACATACCACTGTTTAATATCACATTAAAAATAGCACTATCGCCACTTTTTAAAAGTGAATACACATTTTTATGCATAGGTCTAAAGCACTCTATACAAAAGAAGGCACTAACCACATTGCTACATTTTTAAAAATAGCACTATCGCCACTTTTTAAAAGTGAATACACATTTTTATGCATAGGTCTAAAGCACCCAAATGCTATGTATGTAAATATGAAAGTTTAGGTATGAGGTATGTAAATAAATAGGAATTATGTGCTAGGTATGTAAGTTTTCCTTATACCAATGACATCTTGATTGACCATGTCATCACCATAACAAGCTTAGTTGTAAGTGAAAATTCCATGAAGGAAAGAGAAGAATATGGTAAATAGAGTAGGGAGTTATAATGCTCCAGCACTTCTAATAAAGGAACGGTGCAACGTCAAACTCGTGTCAGGCACAAACACAACTCTGATATGTGTCAGACATGACATAGAACTGTTCAATTTAAATAATATTTTAAAAAAAAGTGGATACGCATGCCAAACACGTGTGTCCTAAATTAATGAATTAAATTTTTCAAAAAAATATTTTTAAGGTTAAAATTTAAAATATATGTATTTATTTAAAATTTAATGATGATTTACATACATACTACTCAATTTGAATGTATTTATGTATCTAACACCTAAATTTAATTTTTTACATATATTTTACCTTACATATATATCAAAAGGTATATTTCACTTTTTAAAACTGAAAATAGCAGCATATTAGATGTGACATGAAAGATTTATGTGGCATAAATGTAAAAAATCAAAATTTAGGTGTTAGATATGCAAATACATAAGAATTCGGAGCCAAAAAACCGGTTTAGGTGTTAGATATGCAAATACATAAGAATTTGGAGCCAAAAAACCGGTGATCATTTTATTTCTTTTCATGAATAATTGATTAAGAGTATTTAAATCTTGATGTAATACACGATAACATATGCTTATTTTTGTATGGCATAAGCTAAATAATTTTCTATAAACATCTTAGGGGTCATCATTTGGGATCACTTGTTTTTATTTTTTATTATTTATTTTTATTTTATTTGTTATGTTTTGATTCAAATTAAAATGTGTTTTAAAAATAAATTTTATTAAATTTCTAATTTTCTCTTTTGTGTTATTTTAATATTTTGTTTTTTTTTTAATTTCTCTATATGTTTTTAATAATTTTTATTCTAATGGTATGCTTAAGGCATGTCCGTACCCTAAATAAGAGACTGTCCTATGTTTGTGTCTGTGTCTCCTTGTTCGTATTCGTGCAACATAGGTATAGAGATATAAAAGCATAAGGCAAATTGTTGTTTTATAACCCTATTCCTGCTTGAAATAATTATTAAGACAACTTTGGCATCTTATAGCTCAAGGAAGACCTTTGTGAACGCTAGAAACTTTAGCAAGAATAGAACACATAAAGCTCATACAATCTCCCTTTTCATTTCATTAAAATGACTACCCATCTTTATCTTATTTATATAATTATGAGGCCAATCAACGACTCGGATTCCAAAATTTTGCCACATTATCAAAATATTTGTTGAGAACTAGCCACTGGACAAGTGATAAAATCATAGACCATAGTTTATGAAACTTAAATTACCTGAGTATTGCATATGTCCTAAAACTTTTAGGTTATAATCATCATTTTAACCAAGTCTAATTAAGGCAAGAAATGTCATAAAGCTATGAAACCTTAAAATAAATTACTTCAGCTCTTAAATTTGTATATTAACTTATAGCACAACTATAATAAGCTATAACATAACATATATGCTCCATAGGTTATGCACTTTAAGATGTGAATCTAACTATCAGATTTTGATCAACTTTAGTATGATCCAAGGAATTTTTATATAGGGATAATTACATACAGACTACTCAAAACATTAATATTTACAAATTAACCGCTTAGGTGATTTTTTTTGGAAGTACCGAAGCGATGTGTTTACGCATTCCATGATGAGAAATTGATAAAAATGAAAATTATGGTCTGGGGTTTTACTATGATTTTTATATTTGAGTGAGAATTTGGAAGATGGAGGAAGAGGGTGGTTGATTTGTAAATAGTAATTGCCCCTTTTATTATAAAGATGCCATCACATCAAATAATTAACTTAACACTGCATAGTGAATCAAATTGCCCCTCTCGGCATAGATGATATCACATGAATGTATTTGGTTGGCTTGGCTGTACATGCATTTCTCAGTGTAGTTTGCTTTTTATTCATACTTTTTCTTAAATCTCAGTGTAGTTTGCTTTTTATTCATACTTTTTCTGAAATTTTTGAGGAAGATTTACATACATACCCCTTAATTCCTTTTTCTTTACATATCTAACACCTAAACTTTAGTTTATATATATATATATATATATGCCACCTAATCTATGCATTAAAAGGTGCATTTCCTTTACATATCTAACACCTAAACTTTAGTTTTTACATATATATATATATATGCCACCTAATCTATGCATGAAAAGGTGCATTTCCCTTTTTAATGGCATTTTTTATGTGATATGAAAGATTTGGGCGGCATTAGTATAAAAATCAAAAGTTTAGGTGTTAGATATGTAAGTACATGGGAACTGGGTGGTATTTATGTAAATGTAGCATGTTTTAATTGAGTATTTTGGTGTTATGCAGAAATGACAGGAACTCTACAGTCACAAGTTCTGATGCATTTCTTTGTTCTTCAGTTTTTATGTGATGTTCTGAGATCATTTTGCTGCTTGTGAATGGGGGCATAACTATAAATAAATAAAAGTATATGGCCCCATGTGTGTGAATTTGTCTTTTCTGTATATAAGCTATCCCTTGTAGGCAATGGAACTGTGTTTTTTAAACCTGTGATCGATGTGGTTTTCTCCATTGTTCTTCCTGCAGCTGTTAGAAACTTGTTTCTTTGCTACAATTCTGTTTTCTTTTTGAGGCATTTACATTCACACCACCCAATTCCTTTGTATTTACATATCCACACCTAAACTTTACGTTTTTTATATTTATACCAGCCAAATCTTTTATATCGCGCATAGATAAGATGGTATGTATGTAATTGAAGTTTAGGTGTTAGATATGTAAATACATAGGAATTGAGTAGTATTTATGTTAATATTCCTTTTCTTTTTTAGTTCTAATTAACACCTACTTGCTTTTTAATCATAAAAGAATGGAATTTTTAAAGATTTATGAACCATTTAGCATGTCTAGAGCTAAATTATTTTTGCAATTGTGGACTTTTATTGCCCATCATCATGATATAATGCAAACTTTTTGGTAATATATTGCCCAAAGTGTAAGATTTATTTAAATTATTTCATTTATTGTGATTTTTTTATTGTAAAAGTAGAATGTCTAAGTATACTTGTTGATGTAAATTAAAGGTAAATTTGCATACATACCACACAATGCTTTTGCATTTACATATCTAATGCCTAAAGTTTGATGTTTTCATTTGTAACATTTGGGTGTTAAAAAAAGATACATGAAAAGGTTGTATTTCACTTGTGAAATGTTAGTGATGCAGGTATTTAGCCTGTTTGCCAATTATTATATCAAGGTTTATGTTAGGGGCATTTTACATGCATAACACCCAATTCCTATGCATTTACACATCTAACATTTTATATTTATGCCGCCATTTTAACTTTTATGAAGTGAAATTCGTCTTTTCATGCATAGGGAAGGATGGCATGAATGTCAAGTATTGAAGTTTAGATATTAGATATGTAAATGCGAAGAAATTGAGTGGGTTGTAAATCTTTATTTATGTTGATGTTTAAGAATTCAGCTTCTTTCAATTGTAGAGGGCTTCACAATCTCCTTCACTCGAGCAATTGATGAGCTCATTAGTTTCTATCTTTCGACTTAGGCTTTGCTCTATTGTGATTTGTAGGAAGCGAAGCTTTGAACCATCGAGATATTGTCGATCTCAGTCTAATAATCTCATGATTTTGTTCCTTTGCTGTAAATTTTAAAGTTGTTTGGGTGCTCGGTTGTACAAAAGATTTTTATATTTAAAAATTGTGCTTCATTCTTCTCGAGGGATCTCACATCATAAACAACCCCCTTCAAAAAAAAATATATATATATATATATATATATATATATATATTAAAGGAAATCGGTATTTGGTAGAGATCCAAATACCGATTTCCCATGTGATATGCTCCATGATGAGAGCCCGAGCCATATGCCTAAATATTCGAGAATCCGGCGCCGTTAGGGATCGTGACCTGAGGGGACTTACAGTGAATCATGCCAACCAACAGGCAACGACTTGCGGCATATATATACATTAAAAGGAATGGTGAGGGGTTATTATACGAGCTTCTAGCCACCCTTAATGTGCATACAATTTGAGTACCACCTCTTTAAGGTCAACTGTGTTAATGGGTATTCAAGCCCCCGACCTGAGGAGTCTTATACCATGAATGTCAACCAACAGACCGGTGTACACCGCACAATATATTTCTATATATATATTGCACCTAAACTTTCATATTTTACATAATATCATTTTAGTGTTATAAGCCTGTTCATTAAAATGTGTATTTCACTATTTTTTACAGAAAGAAATTTACATACATACTACAAAAATATCGTCACTATTTTTTCTTAAGATGAAATACATATTTTCATGCATAAATTTATAACAGTGATATAAGTGTTTAAGTATCAAACTTTTTGAGTGTCATATATATAAATACATAATTATTATATGGTGCACAAGTAAATTTCTGTGTCACTCTACATAGAAGCCGAAATGCAGGGTCATATTTGTAAAGTTGTAATTCATAAACCCAACAGTGAAAACAAATAGATAAAAGAAGTTCATCATGTCAGGTAGAGGTACAAAAATCATGGTTCCTTCTCATGATGGCCCAGAGCTGTACATTAAATGAAAAAAAAAAAATTATATGATGATGTTCTACTCAGAATCAGGATCTCCATCTACTATACTTGGCAATGAATCCAGAGAGACTGAATCTGAATCATAATAAAAAAGCTTTGCATCCCTGTCTCTGAACAAATCAGGTGATATTTTATGAGCAGAATCTTCTTTAATGTCGTCAACCGAGAGTTTAATCACATCACTGCCATGGTTTCTCAGATTTGCAGTTATGCCAGAAGGACTTGCAGTTTTACCGGGCTCCATCTCTGCAATGGATATAGCTAGACTTCCTTGGCCAAAATCCATCTTATTGTGTGAAGCATTGTGGGAGCTCGTCTCTGTTTTGTCTCTATCAGCAGTGAATTCATCAACATTTTGTGAAAATTTGATTTCAGACCCTGAAAGATTAGAACCAGCTTGTACATTAATCGCCGGAGCCTTCGTCGTAATATCTTCAGTAGGATTTGGGGATTTCTGGGTTGTTTCATTGGTTTTATCATTCAGGTTTCTGCTGTCAGGAAGAATTTGATCATCATTTTTATCAAACCAAGCACTGGATAGTTCATCTTCCTCATCAAGGAGTTCTAGATCCCCTTTTAAGTTAGTTTTGATGACATTGTTGAATCCTGCATCAACTGATTGGTTTGTGGGAGGAAGATGATCCGTTAGGGGCAGGGCACGAGGGTGTATGAGAACTTCGAGAGCGAGAAGGGCATGCGCGCAGAAGGTAGCTATCTTCGATCCAGTTTCTCGTCTTCCTGCAGCATAATTTTTTAGGGAACCTTGAGAATGAGATTAAAAAAAAGGGTTAAATTTCAGAGGGGCAGGAGCATTCACATACATATCACCCAATTCATGTCTATTTACTTATCCAAGACCTAAAATTTGTTTTTTTTTATATTTATACCACCCTAAACTTTCATATCACATAAAAAATACTACCATTTTAACTTTTAAAAAGAGAAATACACATTTTCAAGCATAGGTAAGGTGGCATGTATGCAAAATTGGAGTTTTGGTGTTAGATATGTAAATACATAGGAACTGAGCGGTATGTAGGCAAATCTTCCCATTTCAAAATGGTCTCCCGACTATTTGACTATTCGGATGCGACCAATTTAGTCCCAAAAATACCACAATTTTAACTTTTAATAAGCAAAATACAACTTTTCATGCATAGGTAAGGTGACATGATACAAAATTGATGTTTAGGTGTTATATGTAAATACAGAGGAATTGAGCGGTATGTATGCAAATCTTCCTACTTTAAATTGAAATTTGATCTCCTCGATCTTTTAGGGATTAAATTGAGATCAAATTTGTATAATCAGGGGACAAAATGGAGATTAAATGGAGACCATTTTTGTCATGTGCTCTATAAAAGAGATGAATTTGGATCAATTTTTAATAGTCGAGTGACTACATTAGATCACTGCAAAACTCTGCGACTAAATTAACCATATGTGAAAGGTTGGGAGACTATTTTGAGTTTTATACCGATAAAAAATAATACTTTGTTGATGGCATTATTACCTCTTTGAAAAAGATTGAGACCTTGAGATAAATATGGAGGTCGAGTTTCGGTTGGTGAAAGAAGAGATGCGAGCAGCGCCTCTAAGGCGGCTAGCTGAAAGTCAGCAAAAGAGGATTCGTCTGCCACCAAAGACGACTTATCTTCGTTCGCCCATCCAACATCACAAGCATTTGTTGCCACATTTATCACGAGGCGATCAACATCTCGGCGCCATGTCTCGGATCTCAACGAACCACCCTGTTGAATTTCAGAAAATAGTTATTGAAGTCAAAAAAGTTTGAAGGCAGGAAAATGATGCAATGAGCTGATTTCAAATAGGTTTAGCAAGGAGAAAAATGAAAAAAGTAATGGAAGAATTACATACATACCACTCATTTCTTATGGGATTAGGTATCAAACACCTGTACTTCAATTTTTACATACATGCCCCACTCTACCAGGGCATGAAAAGGTGTATTTCACTTTTTAAAAGTTAAAATAGGGGTATTTTTTATACGATATAAATGATTTGTGCGGTATAAATGTAAAAATGAAGTTTTGCAAATACATAAGAATTGTGATGGTAATTAGGGAGGGCATAGAAACTGCTTAATGAGATTTTTAATATTTGTTATACAACCAACATAAATAAATATCATATAATGCACACAAAAAGGTGGGTATAGATCTATGAAGAGGCTTAAGGCCCTTCAATACAACAAAATAAAACAAGTAGATGGCTTTCAGATGTGAATATCTGAAAAACCCAAATAACTTTGTAATGCATCATTGAATTTTTCAAAGTCAAAACAAACAGAAAAACACTTTATTTTCAGAATGTAATTCCATATTTTCTTGAGATTATGTTATATACGAACAAAAGAGTAAAGTGCCAAAATAGTTTCTTGAGTGTTTATCTGGGGCCATTTTAATCACAGAGTTTATAAAAGTGTCAAAATAGTCTTTATATTCTTTAACTTATAGTTGAAATAGTCCTCACAGAAGACTATTTCGCCCATATTAAAAGAGACAAAATTGACAATTTTATAGGACTAAAATGACACGTAAAAAAATCATGGGACTGTTTTGACACTTCTCTGGTGAAAAAATTAAGGGGCATTTACATACATACCATCCAATTCTTATCTATTTACATGTCTAATACCTAAACCTTACTTTGTACATTTAAAACACCCAAATCTTTCATGTCACGCCAAATTTACCATCATTTTAACTCTTAATAAGTCAAATACAGCTTTTCATGCATAGGTAAGGCAGCACGTATGTAAAAAATTAAGTTCAGGTGTTAGATATGTAAACATATAGGAATTGACTGGTATGTATGTAATCTCCCAAAAAAATAATTAGCCAAAAATATTTGCATACGCACCATTGTGAGAAGAGCTTCCAATGTTTTTAGTGCAGCTATCTTCACAGAAAGAGGAGCTTCTGATTCCTTGCTGCAAATCTTACTGCTTGAATCAAACCCGTTGGGATGTTCCGCAGGGATTATTGAGGTGCGTTTTCTCTTCTTGTCATAATTTTGTTGAAATGTCTCACCGACGAATATGGATGGCTGCATATTGGAAAGCACTGGACTACTCCGAAGCTCGAGATTATCGGCGAGGTCAGCAAAAGCATTACTAATTACCTCTTGGGAAAGGTAAATAGTCATTCCTAATCAAGATTGATAGTTAGGAGTTGAATATCATTCAATTATGTGTAAAGAAGATAGTACTTTGGTAAAAATATAAGCATTGACATGCATGCCACACAATTCTTATGTATTTACATATCTAACAAGTGAACTTTAACACACCACCCCATTTCTATGCATGTTCCGCAGGGATTATTGAGGTGCGTTTTCTCTTCTTGTCATAATTTTGTTGAAATGTCTCACCGACGAATATGGATGGCTGCATATTGGAAAGCACTGGACTACTCCGAAGCTCGAGATTATCGGCGAGGTCAGCAAAAGCATTACTAATTACCTCTTGGGAAAGGTAAATAGTCATTCCTAATCAAGATTGATAGTTAGGAGTTGAATATCATTCAATTATGTGTAAAGAAGATGGTACTTTGGTCAAAATATAAGCATTGACATACATGCCACACAATTCTTATGTATTTACATATCTAACACCTGAACTTTAATGTTTAAGTTCATAACACTCAAAGCTTTAACATCACGTCAAAAATACCAGTTTACTAACTTTTTAAAAGACAAATGCATATTTCTATGCATAGCTTTATAGAAACAAGATGTTATAAATATAAGAAGGTTTACATACATACCACCCCATTTCTATGTATTTATATATCCAAACACATAAACTTCAATTTTTACATACATAACATGAAAAGGTGTATTTCACCTTTTTAAAATTAAAATGGTGGAATTTTTTTATGTGATATAAATATAAATATCAAACAAAACCATAAGAAATGTCTGGTACATATGTAAATTTTCCTTCGTTAAAAGAGCAACAAATATCATTCAGTTGTAAAAAGATGGCTAAATAGCAAGCATTTTGTCCCTTTATGCTTTTGGCCTAAGAACAACACCAAGGATTGAAAACTGAGAATTACATTTGGAAAACAAATGAGAGAAGCATACCGACACCCATCGAGATCAGTAGCATCTGCACTATTAAATATACTTTTCTCCTTATGGAAGGCATCCTCGTCTTCCGAAAATACTCGGTGAGGAGCCGCACAACATTGGCGCTATGTGGCAAGAGTTGGCTGCAGCCAAAAATTGCATTTTTAAGTGAGTGCAATTTTATAAAGTTACCATGCAAACAAGAATTAACTGCATCAAAAGATAAGTCTGCGCATTAAAAGCCTGCATGATTGAAAGGTGTCAATTTAGTCCAAAACTCTTTTATATGGGTTGAAATAGGAGTCCCCTCGAAGGACTATTTCAGTCTCAAATTAAAGAATTTGTGGGCTAATTTAGCACTATTATAGAATATGCAACTAAAATGGTCAAAGGACTACTTTGATACTTGAATGACAAATAAGCTATAACTTTAATGTTACTATCTATAAGAAAAAAGGCCATTTTTGTTTCAAGAGAACATGACTATAAAAGTCAAAAATCTCAAGGGGGCATTTACATACATACCACATAATTTTTATGTATGTACATGCATAACACGCAAATCCTTAACATCGCATAAAAAATATCACTATCACTTCCTTTTCAAAAATGAAATATGCCTTTTTCACGCATGGATTTGTAACACCAAAGTGTTATAAGTGTAAACATCAAACTTCAGGTGTTCGATATTTAAATACATAATAATTGTATGGTATGTATGTAACTCTCCATAAATTTAAACATGCGAGTGACTCAAATGGGCCTTGCATTGCATTGTTATTACCACACCTAATCATAAAATAAATGAACCCATCTTCAAGAACAAAGGTTACTCACCTGGGCCAAAACAATCATAAGGAAATATGAAGGTTTTTATACATACCACTCACTTAGTCACTTCCCATGTACTTAACATAGTTAACACCTAAACTTCAATTTTTACATATATGCCAACTTACCTATGCATGAAATGGTGTATTTTACTAAGTAGCGGTATTTTTTATTAGATACGAAAGATTTGGGTGGTACAAATGTAAAAAGTAAATTTTAAGTGTTAAAATGTAAATACATAGAAATTGAGGGGTATGTATGTAAATGTGCCAAAAAAATATAGAAGCCTCACCTTCGTAAACCTTTAATAATGGCAATAAGTAAATCCAAGCTACCCAGATGAAGAGCTGGGAGCTCCGCACAAAGAAGTTCCTGATGCAATGAGCTGGTCAAAGGAAACAATGATCCACCAAAAGAACCATCCATTTGAAGAACTCTCCCAACTGTAGCTAACAGGGGGCGTGCAGGAATCAACACCTGTAAAAAAGAAGCATTAAAAAACATTGAATTACATGTGTATATTCACAAGGGGCATTTACATTCATACCACCCAAGTCTTACTTATTTGCAAATCTAACGCCTAGTCCTTTTAACTTTTACATTTATACCACCCAAATTCTTCATATGACAAAAAATGACACCATTTTAACTTTTAAAAAGTGAAATACATCTTCTCATAGGTACGGTGACATGTATGTAAAAATTGAAGTTTAGGTGTCAGATATGTAAATACATAAGAATTGAGTCATATGTCTGTAAATCTTCCTAAAAATAGAAGTTAAAGTACTTGTGCATATTCATAAGGGACATTTACATAAGCACCACCCAATGCTTATGTATTCACATATCTAACACTAAAACTTTACTTCTTACATTTGTACCTCCGAAATCTTTCATATCACATCAAAAATATCACTATTTTAATTATTAAAAAGTGAAATACACATTTTCATTATTATATAAGATGTCATATATGTAAAAATTGAGGTTTTGGTGCTTGATATGTACATACATAAGAATTGACTGGTATGTACGTAAATCTTCCTATTAAAAAATGCCTAGGAGTGGACCTGCAGATGTGTGTGCATGGACTTCTATCCCCCTATTCATATTTTGATGTATGAGCTTCAAATATACGATCTAAACAATCCATTTGGCTTAACATCCATGCAATTAGTGCATTTAAAAAACTCGATTAAGAATAGGATATATCAAATTTATGTGCATGTGCACGTAACACATACAGCGTGCACATACAAATATATACACGAACAATTATGGTCCGATCAAGGATCAAGTCCGAGGTTTTTATTTTGGGGCATTTACATACATACCACACAATTCTTATGTATCTACATATATAATACCTAAAGTTTGATATTTACATTTATAGCACTTGGGTATTATAAATCAATGCATGAAAATGTGTATTTCACTTTTAAAAAAGATAGTGGTATTTTTTTATGTGATGTTAAACATTTGAGTGATATGTATGTAAATATCAAAGTTTAGGTGTTAGACACGTAAATATATAAGAATTGTGTGGCATTTATGTATTTGATTTTCAGGGGGATTTAATTTTTAGTAACTTCTATTATTAGTATTTTCTACCTTTTGAATTTGGAATTATTGTTATGTCATAATTCAAATTTTCTTATTTTATTACGGGGACTTAAGGCTAATTTCATTGCTTGCCTAATGTGGGAGCCATCCACCTCTATTTTTCTCGTAATCGTTTTCTATTAAACTGAAAAGGTATAAATATTTTTG